TATATATATATATAAAGGTAAGAGGTTATAGTTGTTCCAACAAGAGAAAAGTGTGTATATTAAAAAGAAGAGAGAAACCGCAAGCACACAGGGGTCATTAAAAAACAAGGATATACCTATCTTTCTCATCCTTTCTCGGCCCAGTCTTAATTGTTTTATTACCCTTTACGCAGAACCTTTTCACTGCCAGTTCAACGAAAACATTTGGATCACTAACACACAAAAAGAGAATGTCTAATATCGAGAATATTTAACATCGAAAAACATAAGAAAAATTAATTCCTTTTAATAATATGTGGAAATATCCACTCTTTGCCTGATGAAGGTCGCGAAATCGGAAACGTGTGTAGCAAAATTATGGAAAATAAAGCATGATATATTTTTTAAGAATCCACATTACAACCAAAAACGTTTGCGGTTTCTCTCTTCTTTTTAATATATATATATATATATATATATATATATGTGTGTGTGTGTGTGTGTGTGTGTGTGTGTGTGTGTGTGTGTGTGTGTTTGTGTGTGTGTGTGTGTGTGTGTGCGCGTTTTAGAATAAATAGAACGTTCGCTTTCCGACCATGAGACCCAAGTTCTAAACCACACATGACAAAACCACACATGAGCTCTGTGGGTGTTGAACAAACACAAATGTGCCTGAGCAGGCGTATTTAACAGGGATTGGGTTGACAGGCAAACTCGGATACGAGCGAAAAACCATTATTATTATAAACATAATCTTTAGTGGGTACACCTATTTATTAAACAGTGAAACGAATAACAACAGGCCTAGATTGAAAAGTCCTACTAAAGAAAGATTGTGCTTTCAAAATATTCGAACTTGTATCGCTTTTCCATCAGGGAAACCGCTTTTATAGGCCAAACGTACCTTTACCAGTTTGTCCACGTAGGCCGCGTTTACGTTTCGGGTACGAGAACGAGGCTGGCAGATATAGATTTGTCGAAGTCCTAACGAGAAATATGCTTTCCTTAAATAGGTAATCCAATCCATTCTTATTTGTGCACACCCAATCAGCAGTGAAGTGTGTGTGTGCGTGTGTGTGTATTTAGGCAGCAAATTCTCTTTTAGGCATATCTGATTGAATAAATTACAAACATTATCTTTGCTTATTTTTATCATAATCATTTCGTATTTACGAATATTTTTCCGTATATTACAATTAAATAAGGCAAGAAATACACTTCAACAGTGAGAATCACTTTTATTTTCCAAGCACTATTCATCTCTTTCTGCGATCATCATCAAGAGTGTAGCTGGTAAGGCAAAAACTATGTGTCGCTATCCATTATTGATATTTTTTTTCTGTTTAAATGCTATGGCTGGCATTATGCTTTAACAATAACTGTCAGTCATAGCTATTATATATATATATATGTGTGTGCGTGTGTGTGTGCGTGTGTGTGTGTGTGCGTGTGTGTGTGTGTGTTTGTGTGTGTGTTTATATATATATATATATAACTATTTTTAAAAAATATGATTCCAACGCTACATAAGAGGTCTCATGTTTCAAAACAAGAGCCGAAAACTTCAATATAATTATTTGAATTAAAATGAATTAAAGTACTAAGCTCTGATCCATCATCAAGCGAAATTTTTTTGAATAACTTATTCCTGAAATTTACGCGTTTTATAAGCATATTCATTATTAAAATTAAAATTACTATGGTAACGGCTAGAGCAATTGTTTAAAGAAAAGGTGCGTAAGGGTTAATAATTTGTATCAATATCCCAGTTACATTCAAAGAGGTCAAGTCTGGTTAAGTGTCTATGGAGATTTATTTATTTTTTATTTATTCTTTATTTTTTTCTGAAAGGGTTTTGTGTATATAAAAAATACATACATATATATATATATATATATATATATATATATATATATATATATATATATATATATATATATCAAAACAATGTATTCAATCTTAACAACATCAAGATAATTACAACCACATTCCAAACTATTATGGATATGACCAGAACCCTAAATGCCCATAAGTATAATAATTCTGAAACAGGTATATATAAAATAAGCAGCCAGAACTACTCCACATATTATATTGGAGAAACTTGCAGAAATCGTATACACAATATACATTTTTCCATCATTCATCCCCATATAAGAGGACTGATATTACATAGCAGATCGGCATTCTTCCCCTTCTATTTTTTGAATAACTAAGTCACCAAGCCCATCAAGAAAGCAATCACTTATTTATAAGGACGACAAAAGATCAGATTATAACTGAATAACAAAACCCAGCTATTTTTAATTTGAATATTAGAGACTACCTGTTAACAAGAATTTTTAAGATGACTAATATAGAAGACATATGCTACTAGATATAATTATGATAAAGCAATTATCTGATGTCATAGTATTAGTATCATTAAAATATTAGTATTATCCCTGCCGTCAAAAATGACGACAATTGTTAGAAAGTTTTAATATTGAGATGCAATGAAACAAATTCTCAAAACAATGTATTCAGCGGAGAAAAAGAATTCAGATCTAAAACAGAGGCGAATGAGCCGTTTAATTAATCCGTTCCCTTTATATTTTTAGACGTTCAATGGTATCTATGACTCATTGATTACACCTGGTATTATATAAATCGCTTACTGCTCATTTTCTTTTCATCTTAAAAATTTTATGTGTTTAATACAACAGTGAAATGAAAATATCTCTCGTGAGAAAAAAATAGCAACAGAGCAGCAAAGACGGCGACGATAAATCTTATTTCAAGATCAAGCGGAATAATGACGATCACTTAATAGGCAAAGGTATCTGCGTACCACACATGAAAGGCTTGAACAAAAAGACTGCAATCTAAGAAACGTAAGGAACTGATTAATCAAACGGTCCATTTTGCTCGGGAAGTATTTTGGTCTAAATGCAGATAAATAATTTATGTGTATAGATTATTAAAACAACTAAAGGAAGTAATCACTCTAAATTGACTAACTTAAGTTGACTTGCCTTCCTTCCCACTACTGATCAGACAGGAAATATATAAATAATTACACATTGATAATTATTATATAGTTTGATAGGGACAACCAACCAACTTTAATTCGTTTTTAATGTTTTGAACCGGCATGCAAGCAAGCACCGAGACTTTTATATATTACATATATCTTTGCTTGTTACACTAGGGTGCCGGGAAGGTGAAAGTCCCATACGAGAATTGAATGGTGGAGGGACTTTTTGTGGAATAATGGACAGGCCGCTGGCATCGCTGATGCTATAACGATAAACTGAAACTATGTAGAATTTTTAATGCAATGTTATTTTTTCATGATCGAAAGAAATCCTCAAATATTTGTGTTACCTGTCACGCATATATATATAGAAGAATGGATTGATTGACAGGTACTTGCATATGCAACTGCAATCAAATACATCATAAAAACACACATAAACGGGCACATACACAAACACGCGCACTCACATGAGCACACACAAATATGCATGCGCAAATACTCATAAACAGAAATACATACACATGTACACCTATACAGACAAGATAATGCACAATATGTGTTCTTACCACTATATTTACGTCTATATAAGTATTGGTTCAGAGATAACTATGCATACATATGCAGTTGTAAATAGTTTTCTGAGGGGACACAATTTAATTATTACAGTAGAAAAGCAATATTTTACAACAAAGAGCAAGAAGAAAGAAAAAATTGTAATTGCCGTGAAGCGGTAAATTGAAAACAAAAGAAAAAAAATATATCGACAAGATGAGAAAAAAGAGAAAGAAAAAGAAAAGGAAAAATAAGCAAATCTAAAAAAAATAGAGAAGGAAAATAAAAAGAAATCGAAAAGAGAAAAGGGAAAAGAAAGAAAAAAAGCAAATGAAAAGAAGTAAATCTGATGGAAAAGGAAAAAAAATCGAAAAAAGAAAAGAGAAAAAGAAAAAAGAAAAAAGGGATATGAAAGAATAAATGAAATAAAAAAGTCATTCGGAAAGAAAAAGAAAAAAGCAAAAGAAAAAAGAAAAAGAAATCGAAGAAGGAAAAAAGAAAATAAAAGAAAGAAATCGGAAAAAAAATAAACCGAAAAAGAAAAAGAGATAAGAAAGAAAAAAATAGAATAAAAAAGTAATTCGGAAAGAAAAAGAAATCGAAAAATTAAAAAAGAAAATGAAAAAGGGAAAAAGAAAGAAAAAAGAAATTGAAAAAGAAAAAGGGAAAAAGAAAGAAAAAAGAAAATAAAAAGAAGTAAATCGAAAACGGAAAGAGAAAAAAGGAAAGAAAAACTGCAGTTGTGCATGCATATATACGTCTGTGTGCCTATGTATATGCGTGTATGAGAGAAAGTGTCATCGTATAAAAACATTAATAAATAATACTTATGTCGGTTTTATGTATTTTTCCCCTTTTCTCACCAAGCTAAAAAGAATGGTTTAAGATTTGTTGAATCAGATTATGTTCATCTCCCTCGAGACAGTGTTTTTATTTGACAATCAGACATTATCTGTTTCTCTTTATTCCCAAAGATCATTTTAACACCTGATTGCTTCACAAAGACAGTTTCTGTTTTTCACTCAACTGAAGCCAAGTGGAGTATATTTATCTAAGTTTGATGTTAACAATTCTTTTCAGTTAACCGTGAAAGAATGAAACGACTGAACCAAAATTTTAAAATTTTTAAATGTTTTATTATAAACCAATTTTGCAATGTCTTCATTTTTGTGTATCAGAAAAAAAGAATTTCATTTTTCTGGCATTCCTTTGTATGATTAATTTGCTTTTTTTACGCTTTATTAACCGGTTTGCAGGTTATTTAAAACCAGAAAATATATGTAGATTGTAAGATAAGTTTTAGAGATAATAATGATTTAATGATACAAGTTCAACTATTAAACCCATGCCTGGGGGGAGAAGAGGTGGATTCATACTTTTCCCAAATGTATTTACGGCTAAGTGAATATAACGAATCCGTCTATACATTACATCAACTTCACACCCAAGTTTACAGCATCTGATATTTCCAAGCGGTCACCCATCTATGTACTGACCAGGCTTGTTGTTACTTAACTTCGGTGATCGAACGAGAACTTATATTTCAACGTGATATGGCCGTAAGCCTCATTTGCATATGCGCATCTTGAATGTATAGAAATAAAGGAAAACATTGGATAGTGAGCATTTATGTTGAGAACTTGTCTTTTGTTAGGAGGGCATTTGGGAAACATTTATTGGTAGTTCACTTACCATATTCTAGTCTCACTATCACCAAGAATGCTATTTTTCTTCCTCTTCCTTCTCCTCCTGCTTCTTCTTCTTCTTCTTCATCTTCTTCTTCCTCCTCTTTTTTCTTGTTCTTCTCGTCAGCATTGTCCGCCTCCTCCGCCTCCTCCTCCTCTACCTACTACTATTACTACTACTACTAATAATAATAAATACCTTGATGCTACACCAGACATGGCTCTCATGACATGTTATTTTGATTTTGGATGTTTTGACATGAACATATTTTCTATTTTTCTTTATTTTTTTTTTAATCTTTCCAGCCTAAGCACTGACGCCAAGACGTAGAGGATTACAGGTAGTGAAAATAGAATGAGAAACTTAAGTGATGAGAATTGAGGAAAAGGAAAATAAAGGAAAAGATTTCAGGAAGAGAGAAGATGAAAACTGACGTTGCATTTAAATTTTTGAAGAATTTACGTGGTATGGAAGAAAGAATTCTGAAGAAAGTTCCATAGGCGAGAACTGGGAGAAAATAAACTATTAGAATACAACTAACGGTTGCATCTAGCAAGTTCAGCAGAAAAACCGTGAGACCTAATTGCCAATCTAGTAGCAAATTAAATTCATGCATTCGATACACTAAGGAAAACAGCTCATCAAAAAAATTACCATGAAAATATTTGCAAAAAAGACAGAGCCACATGCCGTCGGTGAAAATGTAACTGAAGTCTAGATGCGAGGTCAGAATCGATTCCATTGAAGACCTTTCATTGAAGACCTTTCATTGAATTTTGTCAAGAATATCGAAATATATAGCAAGAGCACCAGACCAGATAACGCAACAATATTCAATACACGGACGAATGGTACGACGGATTTGCACGCCAGTTGCCTGAATTTAACCATTAGGGCATATCCTTGTAGTAAGAACAGAACCAGTGAATAAACTTATACCAAAACTTTATTGCACTTTACTCTGACTACTCGTCTACTGACAGATGTTACAGGGTGCTTTTTATACCTACTACATCTTAAGGGGAGGTAACTGATTCTTTTATTAGTACAAAGCTCTGGTCCAGTATTTCTCAACCTGTTTAAGCGACAGCACAACTAGGAGCAAATGAAAATATCACAGCATACTTAGAAATTTTTTTAAAGGGTATACATTTAAATATGGTGGAATAAAACAATAGATTTTACAAAAATATACACACAAATATGAACCTACTTTATTTCAATGTTTCTATTCAGCTATTTGTTCAGCTTATTTAATGTGAAGCATGTGCATGGTGTTTTTGGCAATTTCCTCAATGTTTGATCGAATGTGCGATAAGCAGACCCTCATTTCTTTTTCAGTTGAGTGTAGTCTTTCTCGCTTCTTATTTTTGATGTTATTTCGGGTTGAAAAGCTAAATTCACGCAAATAAGAAGTAGAAAATTGCAATAAAACTGATAAAGCCTTTTTACCTAATGTAGGATATTCCTTTTGTATTGAAGTCTAAAATGTATCAATGGTTACGATTGAATTTTGAGCCCTTGATCACTAGAAATGGTGGCCAATTCTTCTTCTCATAACTGAACTCTAATATTAGAAGGAACGTTTATGAAAAGATTTCGAATCCAATCATACTTTCGCGGCACACTAAAGAGGATCACGCGGCACAATAGTGTGCCGCGACACGGCGGTTGAGAGTCACAGCCTTAGAAGCTAACGAAGTGTGTCTTATGAGCAAAAGTAGTAAGTGATCATCATGAAACGGATTTCGAGTTTTTAAGTTTGAAGTATAAGACAAACAAGACAACTTGAGAATCACATCTATCTACTTCAGAACATCTAAACGTCTATTTCGACCCCACCTACAAGGTAAAATGCTCATCATATCAAAACCTGTCGCCATATCCTGCACATTTGGCTGTGATGCATGTACCTAGTATAGCCTTAACAGATTGGGCGTCAAGATGTATATTTGTACCCCAGCATTACTTTGTTTGTGCAGTCAATAATAATAATAGTTATATCTGAAACGGCTGTGCTTATCGAAAGGCAATTCCCATTAATGAGAGAGACGAAAAAGCTGTCAGAACCCACCGTGTTAAGGCCAAAAAAGACATAACAAAATAGTGAATGTCACTTGTGTGGAAACATAGATAAAACTTTTATAAAGGGTGTTTCAATAACTGGGACCGATTTTAAATGTGAATTAAGTTTAAGCGTTTAATGATTTTTTTCTTTTTCGTTCAGATTTGGCGGACATTTAGGCGATATTATTTGTCATACATAATTGTCATGACTTAAATAACATGATCCAATAGAGAAATAAATAACTTTTCACCAATAACACTGATTTATTTACTGTTGACTTTGATCCGTCTTAATGAAACACCCTTCTATATAATCCGTCTTAATGAAACACCCTTATATATAATCCGTCTTAATGAAACACCCTTATATATAATCTGTCTTAATGAAACACCCTTATATATAATCCGTCTTAATGAAACACCCTTTACAAGTGAATGTGACTGATTTTTCCAAGAAGGAGAAAGATAGACATGACTGGTAAGAACAGTAAACTTATGAGAATTGTGCAAATAACTGAGATTCTACTCTGCAGGTCAGGTGTATAAACGCAATTCAGAAGCTGTATTTTTATAACATAAATGACAGCCTCCTGATAATAAAACAGATATTGTATTGTTTTTGTATTTTAACAGTGATTATTTGTATTATTTGTAACTATGAGTTTAGAAGTTGGTAAATTTTATATTATCGCTATCGACAGATAATGTGTACCTAAGTATTATATTCGTCATAGGTATTTCGTTTTGTTTATAATGTTGATTATTGTTTATAATGTTAATTGTTGAACATTATAAAATAACTTTAAAATGCATTGGTCACAATTAGTGACTGGAGCGGAAATTGGAATGAATAAATTGGGTTCAAATTCCGGCATTGTCTTCTGTGCCCATTTTCGCATTAATGTTTTTAAGAAAGGCATGCATTTATCTCTTCTCCTTCCATCGATAGATTACATACTGGGGTCTCTAGCCTTGGATGGCAGTTAGTCTAGAAGAATGATTACTCTGAATTTAAAACCATAGAGAAAGTTATTATACAATACCAGATCACTGCAAAAGTCCGTGCCCGATTTTCCTTGTTAATATAAGAAAATTGACATTGTCAGTGTGTTCTAGATTGAAACCTTGCACCGTTCAGTTGAGTCAGACTTTGTTGAACGCTGACGTTTTGTCCACAAACGAATGCCTTAAAGATGGCGGATGAAAAATTGCACGTTCGCCATATTGTGCTCTATAAATTTTGGAAAGTAGTAAGCGTCGGAACTGCGCCGAAAACATCCAGAAGATTTATTTGGATCGGACGGTCAAAAAAGTGGTTTGACAGATTTCGTCAGCTTGATATTAACGTAAGCGATCAACCGTGCCCCGAGCGACCTTTCGGCGTCGATGACGACGCTCTGCTTGTCATTTTGATAGAAGAGATTGCTAAGAGTTTGAAAATCAATATCTCAACAGTTTTCGCCATTTGAAGAGACTTGGGTTTGCTTCCAAACTCGACACGTAGTGCCCTATATTCCGACGGAACAGAACAAGCTCGGTCGTGTTTCTATGGAGATTTCTTTGCAATTACGCCAAGAAACAGAGCGTTCTTGGACAGAATTGTCACAGGTGATGAAAAAGTGGGAACTGGAAACTTTGTCTTGGTGAATGATAATTCAAAACTACCGAGAACTTTTAATAGGAAACGTTATATTTCCATTTTCCAACCGTGTTATATAACGCTTAAAGAGGGTGAAACAGCATGGAAAATAAACTATATATACAGCCCATATTAAATAAAATATCTTTTACCACAGCAGACGGTATCTTGAAGTGTACATTAAATATTTAATATATTGAACGCTTAAAAAATAATGCATAATAATCAACACATTCTTTTTGGTGTGGTCTCGCTCCCTTTACACGTTTTACATAACATCACTTTGGGCTGATTCAAAACTGTCAACAATCTAAAAAAATACCAGAATGTAACCAACAGAATCTTGTCTACAACACTGACAGCACATAATTCTTGATAAAGACAGAGGTGACCTAAATACTTAAACAAGACAACAGAACAAACCTGAACTTCGCACAATTTAGCAATTTCAAACTTGATGTACATCATTGTATTGGAAAACTGGAAAATACAATAAAACATTAAACAGAGCTTTTCGGTTGAACTTGATAAGAATGATATATATATATATATATATATATATATATATATATATATATATATAGATGAGATAATTGTAACTACACAGTGCGATGAACAAATTGTCGTCTAAATTACGCAAAAATGAAAATAACACTGACATCTCATTTTAACAGATATATTTACCAAACTTACACAAAAATATCTTGAAATACTAAAAAGTAAATTTATTTAATAAAATCGTCATTTCAACTCCAGGCCGTGTTGAAGCCAATGACGGAATCTCCCGCAACTCTTCTTGATGGTCTCCTTGTGAATGCTGCCATAATCCTTACCCTCAGTTCATTTTTGGTGTTACAAGGAGTTTTGTTGGTCTCTTGCTTAACTCTACCCCACACATAATAATCAAGGGGATGCAGTCTGGAGAGTTAGCTAGCTAGATGTAAGGGGTGACGAAAATTTTCTGACATCCATGCTGTCTCCTGCTTGTGTAGCATGGGGCAGAGTCCTGTTAACAGACACAGTGTCTTCCAGCAGCCACCCACTTGATCCAGCACAGCGCCAGCTTCTCAAGGCACTTGATGTAGTCTTCCGTGTTGAGTCTGAGGCCCTTACCAACATATTCTGGAGTTCTTTTCTTCTGAACGGAGTGAGTTTTCCGATCTGACGTACA